TCGCACACCAGCAGAACTTTCAAATCTCACACACCCGTTCAACTGTCCCACCTCTTCAAAAACTCGGATGTAGTGCACGGTGCACACCTGCTTCCAATGGCTGTTTTGGTTTGATGCAGTTTAGCGGCGGAAGCCCAGGGTTCGACTCCCGCCGTTCGAATAGTAACGAACAGATCTTCTTTTTGCCTGCTATGACTACCATTAGATGGTCGCATCCGACGCAGCAGAAAAGAGCTCAGAGCGGAACAAGGATACTGCGGGGACTGCGATGAAAACTGTTCTGACAAGAAAGGATTCCACGATTTGAATCACATAAGTAGCAAAATCGTCCTGGCTTTCCATTTTGCACACCACGCGCATTATTAAGTGTATACCTCATGTATGTATGTGTATCTGTACATAATCTTGTCTGAGGTGGCTTCGTACAGGCCGCTAGCGCTGGAGGCGAGCCCGGACCCAGCGCGGCTCTGGCCAAGCCGCCGCCGCCGGCGCGCATCATCTCCACCATCGTCACCAATGACGCTGAAGGCGCATATGGCGGGCGCCTCTTTCACCGCCCATGCCGCTTCAAGCACCTGCGGCAGTCCAGCAGCCGCCGTCGAGATTCCTAGCAGCGATGATGCCGCATCTCCAGTGTAGCCGCGGCGTACGCGCTGACATGGCTCGTGCTAGGGAGGCTACACGACCTAGTGCAAGCAACAAACGCGACGTTGGGAGGGGGTAATAGAGGTGAGAGGGCGTCCGCGACAGAAGTGTGAGACGAGCTTGAGGGATGACGAGGGGGGAGGGAGAGAGCGCGAAGAAGGAGAACATTATGTATGACCAAGGGAGTGCACTGGCGCGTGTGTACGTGCCACGCAGAAAAGCGCTAATCGCATGTATCGCGGATCTGCACTGCGGACGCTGCGGCTGAGCTATAGGTCTGCGGCAGGAGGGATGACGCGCGCGGGGGAGGGAGAGAGCGCGACGCGGAGGAGGAGGATGCGTATGACTGAAGGCATGGCGTGTGTGTATTTCTGAGTGCAATCTGGAAACGCACGATCGGTCTGTATCTCGGACCTACGCCGCGGACGCTGCAGCCGGACTCTACGCAGGCCATCCACGGCGGCGGCGGCACCCTCTGCGTCGCATCATCCTCTCGGTGTCGCCTCATCCTCTCAGTGTCGCCTCATCCCCGCCGCTTCGCATGGTCAATGGCCCGGTGCGTGCAATCCGCGGCGGCGCACTTCAGCGGGCAGCGATGCGGAGGAAGCTCAAAAACAGCCGCCTCGCCGTCTGCGCTTGGGTACGGGAAGAGCGGCTGCGGGGACTGGATGCGCTGCCCCTCGAGGGTGAATCGGGAACGGGAATAATCTGGAGTGGGGTGCGGGCCCGGAGGGCGGGTTGAAGACGAAGAGGGAACCGGTGGGGAGAGCGGTAGCGGGGACTGGACGTACTGCTGTCCTTCGGGGATGAAGTCGAAGTGGGAGTCAGCGACTGCAGGCGCGATGGCAGGCTCGACCGCGGACGAGGAGTCGCGATGCCCGGTGTGTACCGTCGTGCTCAGCGGGGTGGAATCGCGCCTTGGCGCCTGCACCGGCGTGATGGCAGGCGCGACCGCGGACGAGGAGTCGCGATGCCCAGTGTGCACCGTCGTGCTCAGCGGGGTGGACTCGCGCCGCGGCGCCTGCACCGGCGTCGGCGGACGCTCCCGACGAGTGAACTCGAGGTCCAGCTCGGATAGCAAGTCCGCATCGGGCCCGGGCTCTGTGGCGGCGGACGGGGAGGGTGAATGTAGGTCTGCGGAGGTGGAGGAAGGCGGGGATGCGGCGCGCACGTCCGTGGAGGAGTGTCCCGTATGCACGGTAGTGCTGAGGGCCATGGCCACGGTGGAGTCGTGGCTGGGTGACGGCGAGAGCTCCCCGGGGGAGAAGGTGAGATGTGGCTCGGAGGATAGGTTTGGAGAGGCAGAGGATGGGGATTGTGTGAACTCGATAGAAGGCGCAGCCGCAGGGGAGAAAGAATACCCTACGGTCGCTAAAGCAGTGTAGGGTACGCGCTCGCCATGCCCGATATTGACGGCAGTACTTTCTGTAGTCTCTTGCCACGTCGACGCCGGGGAAAGAGACCCTACGGAGGTGGGGTCGAGGGGCAGGGAGGATTGAGAGGCGAATGCGGAGGAAGCTACGGAGAGCAGAGTCAGCATTCGATCGCACGCAAAGCTCGAAGAGACACACCCAGCGACGTGGAAGCTTCGTGCGATGGGGACGCCATCGTGGGGGCATGGATGTGCATTGACGTCGATTCGCTTGTGAGCGTGTCCTCCTGCGTCTGGTCGTGCTCCACACGTCCGTCTGGAAGCTCCGCATTCGCGAGCCGTGTAAAGTCAGATTCGGCGTCAGAATCCGATCCATGATGACTGGGCAGTGCGCCACGAACGACAGAACCAGGGGTATCGACGGGCGTGCGCGTAACATGTGCCCCAAGGATATCGTTCACGCTTTCCGCCCACTGGCTTGCAGAGGTCTGCGGGAGTGCACCAGAGGAGATTGTGGGGACCAGGTTGAGTGGAGAAGGGTCTGTTGTTCTCATCGCTGCGTTTTTCCTGAGATTTTTTTCGGAGATTCAGATCTAGATCTTCAGAGGCGAAGCAAGCACGCTAGGAGTCTTGGATCCAGTTTTTTTCTTTGAGTCAGAGAATATTCAACCCGAATCGTAGAGTTTTAGTTACAGCCAGGCAAGTGCAGAGAAATCCACCCGAGCCTGACGAGAAAACGGGCGTTTTATACGCCATTGGAGTGCAAAACATGACGCGTGTGGTCGGAGTCTGAAAGCGGATGGAGAGAGAAGGGTGCAGCCAAACAAAGCCATTCCCGGTTGATGATGGGATCAAACCCAAGTTGTCTTCAGCTTCCATTTCGCTGCAGCCGACTGGCCAGCTTTTCTGCTCTTCTGCCGTCCGGCTCGCTGGGTTTCACCACGAGTTGGAGCTTTGAAGGTCGACTTTTTCATCCCTTCCTCACTTGCCAAAGAACGCATTTTTAACTTTCGGCACACTGTGACACCCCTGTTGATTTGGGTGATTTCTGCTTTCAAACGTGGCCTTCACCAGATTTCTAGCGTATGCATGTATCGTTGGAGAGCTCCGCCTTCTTAGGTGCTCTCGTCGTGAGCGTGTCTTCTTTATATCTTCTCAAGGTCATTGAAAGACTCACTTCGCGGAACTTGAAGGCACTATGTATGTAGCTTATAGTAATGGCGCTGCGACTTATTGCCACCGAAATTTTGCCATATGTCCGGGCCACCGAAATATATATGAAAGACGTCGGACGTGGTCTATGGTACCCATCCGCGAGGCGTCAGACGATCCAAGACGCTTGTTTGCGGGAAGTCCGGGTTCGATTCCCGGCGTCCGGTGTCCTCTAGATCCACCTTTTTTCAGCAAAAAAGGGGTCGTAGTCCGATGTCTCATTTGAAGTTTGTTCAGCCATTTAATCTTTCCTATCATAGTTGTTTTACCATTTTCTGATACCTCATGGCCCACTCCACATATTCCCTGACGCTCGTCCGCCTGGCGCTTTGCGCATCTTGAACAGGGACCTCGGATGTGGTGCATGGTTCACAACCACTCGCACTGGATGGCCTCTTGGAATATGATGTGGGAGACTCAGGTTCGACTCCTGGCGTCTGTAATGTTGCTTCCTCAGATCCTTTTTTGTCACTTCCGTCTTTCTGATTATCCTCCTGAGTCTCGACTCCTTCTTTTCGTCTTAGCAAGGGATTTAGTTCCTCAAATATAATCTGTTCAAGACCATCGGTGCAGTATAGACTATCATCCCGACGCTGAACGGGCTTTTGACATCCAACCGTCAAGATCTCAGCGCAGTACAGATTTTATTTTATTTCCCATCAAACAAGTTCATGAATCTCAGGGAGAGAAATACGGCAAGTAAAAAAAAATGTCTATGGCTACGAACGTACTAGTAATTTCATGTCTTTGGGCACTCAAAGTGTCCTGATTTGACAGATTCTGCACTTCAAACGTCTCCCCCACTCTATTCCCAACATTGGAATATATCGATGGACGAGTTCATTTCTACCTTCTAGGGATGGTAGCACCTACTATCAGCCACCAGGTACTCGGCCACCTTAGCGATTGTCGTCATTTCTCGGATGCTGTGAGCGGGCCTCACGGCGGCCTGGGTGACAGATCGAAGGCATACATCTTATGAAGGTTTAGAAATATTTTGGCGGATTTTAGGAGTGGCTATACTGCACCGTGAATTTCTTTTTGCTCGCATGCCCAAAAAGGCAACAAACAGGGTACTCGGCCACCTCACGGTATAGGCCGCTGAGGCCAAGACTGGACCCAAAATGTATTCAGATCTAATCATGAGGTCCGTGTATGGGATTGTGAATAGTTTTGGTGGTACATACTACCTAAAATAACATGTGTTAAAAGGGGGAAACTGTCGCCTATGGCACATGTTGGTAAAGCAAGTGTGTGGCCAGAGCAAGCGGACATGTAGGCTCAGGATACGGCGCAGGGTAAATCTTGGTACATATATGTATATGCCTGACCAAATATTTCCATTCCTACCCTTTCAAAAAAATCTTGGACTTCCGCGACACCCGAATGGCGTGTTTCAAGGTATTCAGCAATGTTGTGCCGGAAGTAAATGGATAAAATACTCATCAAGGCTTCGAAGCATGGAGGAGGTAAACAAGAAACCCCACGTCAAGCGCCAGACCCATAGCTTGAATGGTACGTTGGATATGGAGGTGCTTTACTGCGGTTGATCAGAATCTGAGCCAGGTCTTCCTCGCTGTTGTGCGCAGTGTCATCCTTTATCTTTAAGCGGCTCTGTATCAAAGGTGAATGAAGAGCATTTGGTATGGGTGGTCCTCAAAGCTCGTACTTGGTCCCCTGAGGTTAAGTTTTGGCAATTTTCAACTCATTCATGATATATCTGCGGGTGGCCGACTACCTAGATGGATAGCCCACCGATATATGAGAGGAGTCGGACGTGGTGCATGGTGCGCATCCGCGAGAAATGGAAGACGAAAGAAACTTCCTGCGGGAAGTCCGGGTTCGATTCCCGGCGTCCGAATATACCTTTGCGACGCAGCAAATTTTTTTATTTCGCACAAATATGGTGCGAGATACCAGGTTCGACTCCTGGCGTCCGAAATGATTTCTTGCTCCTACAGTTTTGTTCAGCTTTTCCTCGCTTTCGTCTTTCTTTAGTCTTGGCAAGGGTTTTACCTCGTCGGATCGTATTCAACTTGATCGGTGCAGTATGTTGTCACCCAGACGCTGAAAGGTCGTTTAACATTGGAGGGTCTAACTTTCCGGCGCCTGCAAATCTCATTATGCGGTCAATCTAACAAGTTCATGAATCGCAGAGGGAAGGCAACTCGGAAAATCTAAAGTCAAGTATGGTGTCAATTCCATGTTGAACGTTCGGGCTCTCATCCGGAAGGTACTGTAGCATTTCGTTCAATTCTCCTGGTCTGTGACCTGTGACCGGGAGATTCGAACTTGAGAGTTCGAAAATGGGTCGGGGGAGGCGTGACAGGTTGAAAATTTCGTAAATTTGTCGCACCATGGCCATGGCATTCCCGGCTCTCAGGCACTTTTACCAGAGCTGCTCAGTGCTACAGAGTCAACAAGGAAAGGTAGTACGCTTAAAACCTGGCATGCAATGTGAACACTTCAGCAAAACTCACCTCCGGCGCCTCGGTGGGCAAAAAAAAAAAAAACTAGACAGGTTTTCGCCATTCTGTGACTTGTTTGGGAGATTCGAAAATTTCCTCGGTGACCTGTGACAGGTAAGAAAATATTCGTAAATTTTAGGGCCTGTGACGCGTGACCAACGAATTGAATGAAATGGTACAGTAGCGCTCTTACCTCATTTCGCCATCGTAATGTTGAATGAGTTTGAATGGGGCTCGGAAGGAAGGAACGCCACTGGGAAACGAACGCGGAGAGTCGCGGAGTCTGGGTCTCATTTACGAGCTCGCTGGATTTTTCAGGAACAGCCATCAATTCAACGTTGCCAGTTCCACTGAACCTGTTTCGCTCCCTTGGCTTTTCGAAACTGCTTGAGAAACTTGAGACTGCGACCCTTCTGACTTTGGTGCACGAATCAAACTCCAAGTTTCGCTGTAAGTTTGGCCGAAAGAGATGGAGGCAAGCTGGCGGCAATCAAAAAGACAATCAATCTATCTACGACTTTTGACCGGAAATATGTGAAATTCAGAAGCCCGTCTCAGCCGCACACACCCATCTCTCCCCGGCGCATGTCGTCCTCATTGTGTGGCCACAGGATACGCCGACTCGGTCAGTCCTTGGCCACTTTCGCGTCATAACTCAATGTTCATCCCATATTCTCGTAGGCATGATGGAGAGATACCACGCGACTCGGCACTTTTTGGGGATGGACGCCTGCGTTGTTACATCTGCACGCTATACCACACCTGAAGGCACAGTTTTGACCAAGGAACTTCTGTTTCCTGCCCTGCGAGTTGTAATCGAGGCGCACGCCCTCCTTGGGGTGCGATTCGACGGCAGAGATGACGCCTTGGATGTCGCATATTTGCGCCTTCCGAGCGTGGATCTAACCCGCGTTGTGGAATTCTCCGAGAATTGCGACCTACAGGACGCGTTGACGAAGCAAGTGCGGCGGTTTGAGGACACTCAGGGAGATCTGCCGCTGTGGCGCCTGGAGGTCCTCCCAGACAATACTGTCATCCTGGCCATTCACCACGGGATCGGGGATGGCATGAGCAGCGCAGCTTTCCATACCTCCCTCCTCCAGGCACTCCAAAAACCAGCTCTCCAAACTTTTTCATCCTCCGTCGTTGTACCAGACATTCGTCTGCTACCGCCCATCGAGGATGTCACGGATGTACGCCCCTCACTGTTCGCCATTCTCGGCGTTCTTTACCAGATGTTCTTCCCCTGGAGTGAAACCAATACATCCTGGACAGGCCGCCCCGTGCCCACTGACATTGCTCTTCAAACGCATGTCCGCCTGCTGTCTTTCGAGCCCTGGGAAGCCAAGGCCTTCTCGGACATCTGCCGCTCCCACAATGCTACTCTCACAGCCGCCATTCACGAGCTCACTGTCTGCGTCCTCTCGCGCCTCCTCACCGCCGATCCAAGTTCGGATTCCGCCAAATCCAAGACTGTCTCGATAAACGTGCCCGTCTCGCTACGCGACGCCGCTGGCGTGGGCTTCGGCGAGGTGTGCAACTACACGTCGAGCGCTTATCTGTATCCCCCGCTCCACAGTGAGTTCTCCTGGGCGGGTGCGGCGCGGGTCGCCGGGGAGCTCCGGGTACAGAAGATGAAGAGCCGAGAGCGCCTTGGGATGGTGCGCTGGGTCGCCGGGGACTTCACCCGCTTCATGAAGGGCCAGCTCGGGATGAAGCGCGGGTATGGAGTTATCATTTCTAACCTCGGACGCTTTCAGCCTGTGGGTGAGGGAAAAAAATTGACCGTTCCCGAGGAAAAAAGCTGGACAATCGGCGACATTTTCTTCAACCAGTGTGACTCGCTGGCCGGGGCGGCGCTGGCGCTGAACGTTGTTAGCGATCCAGCGGGCCAGCTCAACATCGGCATCACTTGGGGAGACAAGAGCCTAGACGTGGCGTTTGTGGAGGCGTTCATTGCAATGTTTCGCGAGGCTTTTCATGCGCTTTTGGCGTAGTTAACGTGCTTATTACTCATCAAAGAAAATTACAGCTGCACCCCGTGGTTTGAACAACAAATATGTCGCATTTATTTTGTTTTTACTAAAAAGCAACTTATTCAACTGCTAGTACGAAACCGAGGGTAAGCTCACGCATATGACTGGGTCCTTATTCCGAATACGCTCCTTCAAATCTGCAAGTTTGATCAAGGTCCATATCACCGCCCTGATTATGGCCTTCTCCATATTTTTACCCGGAGCTGCGTCAGAAAGCCGAAGACCGGCTCGACCTGAACTCCATCCGTCCCTTCTCAACATCGAAGGACTCGTCGTTGTCGAAATCCTTGACAGATTGTTGATCTCTGAGTGTGATCTGTATCGTCTTGATCGTCCCCTCCATGCTATGTACGCCGACTCCCAGCCCGACGCGGACGATGATCAGCGTCGGAGCGATTCCCTATATCATAGAGGGACGTGGGCATGGGTTTATAAATTATCAGGAAAAGCGACCCACCATGACCTGCGTGAGCATTTGGTATATGGGCTCCTGCACGATATTGATGTTGTCCGGGAAAGAGCGAACAATTAGATAGGCCAGTACAGTCGCTGAGTATAATACGCCCGATTCAACTCTATATAAAAGGTGAGTAATAATTATTGTGAGAGCCAACAGTCACAAAAAAATAAATACTCACAGGATGGATATAGTAGACATACACCGTCGTTGGGCCTGTGTCCTGAACTTGAAGTGCAACCGACATTGGCGACAGATCCACCAGATGCGCCCGGCTACATGGCGAGAGAGAGGATTTATTTAACTGCCCATGCAGCAGATCACAATGCGGTACCTGTGAGTGCCATGACGATTACATTGGTAGCGAGGGAGAGCGAAAAGAAGGGATTCGCTGGGAGCTGAATGTCCACCGCGAATACTGAAAATAGCATTACGTGAGAATGAGCGGATACAGGGAGGACTGAGAGCAGCACTGACCGCTGGTTACGAGGAGCATAAGCAAGGGGACGATCACGGCGAATACGTTGCGGTCCCAGACAACATAGCAGCGATATATCTGGGAAGGAAAATGAAACCCTCGTCGAGTGATAATCTGAACAGCGAGACTTACGACCAGGCCGTCAGCGATTATACTGGTCATAAATGATTAATGAGTACATGAACGCCGTGAGGAAGGGTGGGAATCCTACTTGTTCACGCCGTATATAATGTCGCCCGCCTTCTCAAGCTTGTCGAATGGAGCATCGAAGTCCTCGATCTCCCACGTACCGAGGATGAGGTTGATGACGGCCTGTACGGTAGAAAGGGTGAAGAGGGCGGTCGCAGTGATCAAAAGGACTGTGTTTCCGGGATTGTGCTGTCGGTGCAGCAGGATGTGGATACAGACACAAAATAGCACCAAGTATATGCCTGAGGAGAATGAACTATGAACCTTTCGCAATTAGAATGTTCATACCATAAAAGAAGGTCCCGAGCTGTAAAATACATAATTGGCGAGGAAAAAATCAAGTGTTGGTATGCGCACCCATAGCTCGCATATATCGAACCAAAAATCATCCTAAAGCTGTGTGAGAGAGTCAATGGGAAGAGATGAGGATCGAATACCATATTTGGAGGATCAGAGAGCGAAGAATCAGAGCGCGATCAAAGGCTGACACCGAACAAGAAAACCTTCAAAGGTAGACGAAGAGAAATGGAGAGCGTGAACCAGGCTTCCTTGCTAAGGCGCTTGAAAGGTCATTGATTTTATAGGAGGTGGTAGAAGAAGTCTGAAGAATGAACATGTCAGTAACCAAGCACGGTAGCAGAGAATCGCCCTTCCGTCCTTCGTAGCGCGGTTTCCAAGAAACCGGCATCAAGCGGGCCATCTCGGGAGTGATTGAAGAATAGAGAGTGACCTTGCCAGGATCAAGATTAATATCAGTGTAGGAATAGAATGACGGCAGGATGTATTCTGCACCTCATAACTTATGAGCTTTGTTCAACATCTCCCGGGAAGAAAGTCCTGAATGGAGAGTCTGAGATTAACTGAGCAGGGAGGGTGAATCCACAGTGCTGCCGAGCCACATGTTTCTGCGCCTGCAGAGAAGCCGGGACCAGGCCAACTGAGAAACTTAGGAATGGCGAGAGCAGTCCGTCGACCAAGGGAACTTCACGAGGGAGACTTGGCAAAAAAATTAAGTAACCAAGGAACCATCATTGTGCGCGTGGAATAAACAATAAATGCTCGAGTATGTGACGATAGGAGCCGATGCCCACCCTTCTACCGCTGGCAGCCTGCAGACAGCTGAGGGAACGGAAAATGGCACGTTAACGAGCTTTGCAAGGGCTCGAGGCCACAGAGCGGGCTTTGAGATAGACCCAGTGTTCGCGCCCGATAGCTAGTTCTTGGGACGTAGCA